ATAGACAGGAAGATTCTATTGGCCAGCGTGAGAGCCAACAGCTGACTGACATGAATGTTAACTAGTATGCTAGCATGCAAAAAAATTGATTACTGCATTCGTCACAAGTGGGAAAAATTTAAATCTGCATGGCACTTTACTCCAATTGGCTCATTCGCTTGCTTAAACGTTGATTCTGATTCCGCAGAACTGGGTTGGGTGTGAAAAAGTATTTGTTGTTAACATTCTTTTTTCATTCAGTTTTTCCAGTTACGAGTCCTTTTTTAAAGCTGATCGTTTTGTGTTCATTTTGTTTAGTTCTTTTTTTGTAACAGATTTAATGTTTAGTATAGAGCTTAGAAAAAATTCACAGTGTGAGATAGGCAAGAAGTAAGGCATGTAGCAACATCAGCACGGCTAAGGGCACTCCTTTAAAGGCAAGGAAGAGCAAAAATATTTTAAGTCAAGTGATAGCAATTGCTGTATAAGTTGTACGATTTTTGAATCAAGCACGGGCAACGCCAGGCCATGCTGCTAGTACAGTATACACAGGAACTATTCATCTTCCAAATAATGAAGATAAATTTATCAACATTTCTAAGTATGAACTAACAGATCACCAAAAGGAATTACTCAACCTTGGACCTGTATTCTTTATAGACAATACAATAGATTGGATAAAAAACTGAAATTGAAATGTTATATCAAAACATAGAATAACATAAAGAACCACAACTAATAAAAACAAAACCAGAAATTCACAACCTCCTCAAAGCAGAAACAATAAAAGACAGACATGTCAATAGAAAAAAACTTGTCCAAGCTCATAACAAAACAATTAAAAATTGCTGCCAAGTAGCTACATAATCATAAATTTAAAAAAGCAGATAAAACCAATATCTTCATTGTATTAAATAAAACTGATTATAATTCAAAATTACAACAAATACTTGATGATTACACCAAATTTAAAAAAGTCAACAAAAATTCTATTAACCAACTGAAATTGAAAAACAACAAGCTGATCACAGCCAACAATGCAGAAGATGAGAACTTAAAACTTCCGAAATAATTGGTGACTACAAACTAGGAAATATGTATGGAACTATAAAAGTACATGAACCTAACTCCCCACTCCATCCTATCATATCCCAAGTCCCCACTCCTGTTTATCTATTAACCAAAATCATTAACCAACTCATTACATAGCTAGTAAATATAGTATTAAATCAACTCATGAACTAATCCAAATCTTAAGAACACAAAAACCAAATAATGAAACCAAAGCCTCACATGTCATTGAAAGTTTATTTACTAATGTCCCAGTAAGAGAAATGATTCATATAATTATAAGGAATATTTACATCTATCTCTCCTGCTATTAAAAATTAAACCTAACATATTACGGAAAACTACGCTTGACTTGTACACTGAGGTTCTCTTCTATGACCATCAAAGTAATATCTATGTATAATGTGATGGCATTTCGATGGGTTCAGTTCTGGGACCAACATTTAGTATCTTCTACATGACTAACCTTAAAAATAAGATATTTAGTACCACTAAAAAACTATCCATCTACCTAAGATATGTAGATGATATTCTCCTTTTAGTTAAAGACATAGATGAAATACATGAACTACAAAAACTTCTAAAAAACCTCCGTTCTTAAGTTCACATATGAACTTAAAAATAACAATAAAATTCCTTTCCTTGATATATTGATAGACACCAATAATAATACATTTACTATTTCCCCATATAAAAAAAACAATTAGCATAAAAACATGTACATTCAACTTTAAAAGTGAATATCCTGACTATTACAAAACAGTGATTATACAAAGTTTAATAAACCATGCAAAAGTTAACTCTTCCACAAAAATTATTTTCTACATGGAATTAAAAAACATTAAACAAACTCTCATTGATAATGACTTTTCTAATTACATCGTTGATGAAAAGAATAGACGAGCTATTAGAAATATTAAAATAAATCAAAAAGAACATACTTCCTCAAATAACCCTAAACATATCAACCTACTATTTTACACCGAGCGATATTTTATTAGCAACAGCTCTCAATGCACTACATTATATATATATATATATATATATATATATATATATATATATATATATATATATATTAGAAATATAAAAACATACTTAAATATCTGTGCCTTTCCACAACTTTCCCAGTTTGTTATATAACTGTCTCACAATTTCACTCAATTCAATATTAGAAAATATAGACTATACATAGAATATAAAGAAAGAAGATGTGGATATTTTGCACATAAGTGAATGTAGCAAACTTGACTGGAATTAGAACTCAGCTCTCTGATTTCACATTCTGAGCCACTATCCATTCCATTATATCAACATGCTTCCACACACACACACACACACACACATATATATATATATATATATATATATATATATATATATATATATATATATATGAAGAAATATGCTCTTAAGGTGTGCTATATTTATAGGGGTAATGTGCTCAATACCAGAGATAGAGCATGTGTAAATATAAAAGTGAACATTGACGTCAATACTTAGAGGTGACAGTCTGTTTCATGTTAGACGCATGGCCTGATGATTGCGTCTAGGATGAAACAGCTTGTCACCTCTAAGTGTAGACATCTGTTGTGGACCCAGAATATGTCCGAAAGAAAACTCGAACTCAGCAATTTAGTGAAAGCAGATTATTAACAAAAAGAATGAATACAAAAGTGTTGCACGTCTGACAGCAAAGTACAGTAGTCAACTCGTCAAATGTAGACTGCTCTCTTGAGAGCTATAATATAGTAATAGGACAAGTCCATTTAGTCCATCAAGGTAGGTCCCATAACAACTTCTATGTTTCACTTCTATATATATATATATATATATATATATATATATATATATATATTAAGACATGTCTCATTAAATAATTAAGACAAGTTTTGTTTACTTATTTTTAATAGGATTCTCTCATAATTATGGACAAGTTTCTTAGTATCCTTATTAAAGGAAGAAAGAAAATTATCATGTTGATGCATATTCATTTTATTCCAAGTACTTTCAACATTAGTACAATGTCATCATCAGGGTCTTGTTTTTTCTATGACAAAAAATTGTTTGTACAAAGAATGTTTAATAAAAGTTACAAATAAGTGACTGCATCAAAAGAAATACTTGAATCCCTCACCCTGCAACATAAAAAAAACTTGAAATTCTATATATAGTTGCTCAAACTATAAAACAATACATTTTTGCTTTCTTTTTGACAATATTGAAAGTATTTAAATTTTTTAAAGCAATTGTGTGTGTATTTGTGTGTATAAGACATGTCTCATTAAATAATATAGACAAGTTTTGTTTACTCAATTTTAATAGGATCCTCTCATAATTACAGACAAGTTTCTTAGTATTCTTATTAAAGGAAGAAAGAAAATTACCATGATGCATATTCAATAGTTCATATTGTATGTTACAGAAAACCAACATTGTATATAGATTTAAATGTCCCTTTGAAGATTGTATCTCCAACAGAAAAAATAATATATATGTTGGCCATACTACTACTTCATTGTCTCGAAGGTTGTGTTCTTATTTGACTGATGCATCTAACATCTCTCAACATTTACAACAGCATGCCTGTCCATATTCGCAATTTAGGAAAATTCTTGTTGACAATACACTTAAACTTTTTCATGAAAATAATAAACATAAACTAAAAATTCTTGAAGCTAACTATATTAAAAAATTGAAACCGACCCTTAATAAAATTAATTATGAATATTGCACAAATGTTTACAGTAGATAATTTAAATATCTAGATTTAACTAATAGTTTAAAATAGTTTTTCTTATTAAAAATATTTTGACATTACAATAACTTAGTTACCCATCTTGACATTTACACATGTACCTACATGATAAAATTTAAAATTATACAGTACATAACCTTAGTGTTTTTCACTTCGCACATAAAAAATTTAATTTTCAGATGAACATAATAATTTTGTCTTAGAAAAAAACAAGACCCTGATGACGACATTGTGCTAATGTCAAAAGTACTCAGAATAAAATGAATGTGCAACAACATGATAATTTCTTTCTTCCTTTAATAAGGAAACTAAGAAACTTGTCTGTAATTACAAGAGGATCCTATTAAAAATAAGCAGGCAAAACTTGTCTAAATTATTTAATGAGACATGTCTTAAAAATATGCTGCCAAAATAAACACAATATATGTGTGTGTACATATTTATATGTGTGTGTGTGTTTTAAAGAGTACACAGATAGTACACCAAATCTCAGTAGAAAAGCCAAGTAATGATACTTTGATCCTTAAACAACATTAAGTTAAGCAACATTGAGCCTAGTCAGTACTGTACAGGGAGTATAATGGATAACAGCTCAGAATAAGAAATCAGAGAGTTGAGTTCATATTCTAGTCAGGTTCATTACATTCACTTACATGAAAAAATGAGAAAGGTATGAATCCACCTCATCTCCCCCACCCACTGTGTATTGAATATTAGGACTTGTATCTGAAAATCATTATTATCATGAAACATTTGTTAATATGATATTTATTCTAACCTAGAAAAGGTTACTGAATGAGGAATAACCAAAATGGAGGTTGGAAATGAAATAATCTTTATAACATCGACAAAATACAATACTCGCCAATGGCATGAAGTAGGTAAACCACTGCTGGTAGTGGACTACTTAGATAGCATACTACCTCCACTTACAATAGTGTCCAACATATTTATGAGGATTGGGACATACCTATTAGTGTTCATAGGTACCGTATATAACAATATTAATTGACAAAAAAAAAAGACAATCCAAAAAAAAAGGTTCAGCTTTAAATAACTTACAAAAGGTTGATAAGCCGTAAAAAACAAATTAGTCATTTTTTACATTTTTATTTATTTACTATTGCAGGAAGCTGGCAAATTTACATTTGTTATATAAAGAACTCTTTTTTTGGTTTGTTTGTTTTTACAGGGAAATGTGGCATTTTCATCTGAAGGAGATCGAATTGCTCTGACCCAGATTGAACAAATGATCAGTAAGTATCAACCTTTCCATAGTATCATTAACACAAAGAATTTTTCTCAAGCAGATGTATTCAACCAGCTTAATACACATTCACATAATCTATAGCTATATTGTTACATTTCTATATACAACTGGCAATGGATAAATTGTTATCTAAATCCTGCAAAAATGAAAATGACGCTGACATCTCATTTTAACAGATATTACCAAAATTACCCCAAAATATCTTGAACTACTAAAGAGTAAATTTATCCAATAAAATCTCCATTGGCTTTTAACTATGGCCTCCAGAAAACTTCAGAATCTCCTGCAACTTTTCTGGGCAGTTTCCTTGTTTAAATTGGTGAATGATGCCATAATCCTTGCTTTCAGTTCACCTTTGGTGTTACAAGGATTTTTGTTGGTCTATTGCTCAACTGTGCCCCACACATAATAATCAAGGTTGCAGTCTGGATAATTAGATGGCCAAATGTAATAGGTGACATGATCACAAAAATTGTCTGGCAGCTATGACTGGGTTCTGTTGCCAGATATAGGGTCTTCCAGCAGCCACCCTCTTGACCCACGGTGGCACTACCTCCTCAAGGCACTTGATATAGGCCTCCATGTTAAATCTGAGGCCCTGTGGGAAAATGAATGGAAACATAACATTGACCTCACTAGTGATCACTCCAAATACCTTCGTAATCACCATTAAACTCATCCAACTCTTTCTGTATCCTCTGCATCAGATTGACACCTAAACACTCTGAAATTTCCATATTGAAGCCTCTGGTACAAATGCTAAGCAGTACAGCATACTGTTTCTAAATTTTTGGTGGAGCAAATTGCATCATGGTGCTGTTTTTCTCACAGATGGTGCCCAACAGAACCTATAAATAATATGTAGTTGACAAAATCAAAAACAATGTGCATGTATGAAATTAAAAATATAAAATGACGACAATTTAACCATCAAAACCTGTATAGGTCTTAAATACAGGCTACAACAGAAATAGCCCCCACATAATGGCAAAACTGATATTTCTGAGTGGTATATGTGGGAGGTATTTCTGTCGTACACTGCACAATGTCTACAGTGGGATTAAAAAACAAAAGATAACCTATAAAGTCTCCCAGAAATGATTCAGCCATTAAATAATAACCCATTAAAATCCAGTGTTAACTATAAAAATTAAAATAAAAAAGGTACATGTTGCTTAGAAAATCTAGGAGTAATTATAGATCTCTACCTATAACCCATTACTAACTTACTGTGTATTGAAGTGTTAATGAAAATGTAACCTACCCTGAGCAAAGGCACCTTAGTCTCCTTCAAAATACTTAATCCTTTTAGAACATCATACATTTAACCTAACCTCTTTTAATTTTATTGTCATTTCTAAAACACAGTGTATATATATATATATATATATATATATATATATATATATATTATAATAAAAAAAACAGACCACGTTAAGATTCCATGTAATAAGTTATTTCACCATAACCCCTTTAACAGGGTTCTGGATCATCAGACTTTACTTCCAAAAGTTGAAATGAAAAATGAAAAGAAATTTACACGTTATATGGAGATATACGGATGTGCGTTTCTCTGCAGATGTATATGTGTAAATATGGAAATATACATATGGTTTTTTCGTGTGAATGTGTGTGCAGGTGTATATAGGAACTCTTAGGCATATAAGAAGATATAGGTATGTGGATATAAATAGAGGTTTAAAACATGTGTAGATAAAAGATTGTAAAAGAAGGACTTAATTTTCTGCTAGTGACATCCCATCCAAATCTCTAATCTAATATTCTCCAATTGGAAGTGAGTTTTAAATAGCACGAAGGTAAGGTTTAAATTGGTATTTTAATTTAGATTGAAATATACTACCCCATTATTGATGATAAAATTATTTAAATGGGAATAACCGTTGATAATTGGGTACATAAAACAATCACAAGTTTACTTAATGAACAAAAATCAAAAACAATCACGAGTTTACTTAATGAACAAAAATCAAAAACAATCACGAGTTTACTTAATGAACAAAAATCAAACGAATAGATGTCAACCTAACAAGCAATAAGATAAAAGTTTTAATAGAATAAAAAAGATTACTAAATATAAAATGGATTACTCTTTCAATGTACTGTCTATGAATTTTTCTAATCGACTGTTTCATAGAAAATACCCAAAACTCCACTGAATTTCAAATTAATTTCTTCGTAGATTGTTTAAACATTTAGATATTTATCAAACCTTAACCTACCAAATATGCCCGTTAAAGTAACATGAATTAACAGCGTCTAAGAATTTGAATGAAACCTGTTGTGGAATGTAATTGATTGGGGTTGTTGTAGCTTCTTCCTTTAATGTCGGTCTTCTCCCTCACCCCTAAGCCATCTATATCTAGAGACGAGATGCGTTCAATTTGAGCAACATCTAGCCAACACACTGGGGTTAAAAATAGGAAATTGAAATGATACATATGACACACTCATATCCTCTCTCCCACCTCACTTCCTCACTTCGTTTACGTATACTTGATGAGGTCCATCAAAAATGTGTAAATTTCTTTTCATTTTTCATTTCAACTTTTGGAAGTAAAGTCTGATGAACCAGAACCCTGTTAAAGGGGTTATGGTGAAATAACTTATTACATGGAATCTTAACGTGGTCTGTTTTTTATTCAAACATATCTACTCCGAATTTTACATTGAGCTCTCTGGATATCATCCTCCTTAGGTCTACCCATACGAATTACCTATGTTTGCATAAACTATATATATATATATATATATATATATATAAATATAAATATAAATAGTTATACTCGTCTGGAAAAACCTTAGGTGTTTTGGCTTGTAAATGAACAAACCAATGCCCAAGGGAAAATAAGGGATAAAAAAAAAAAGAACTAAGAACATGTAATTGAGGCGAAAACAATTGTCCAGAATCCAAGCTCAGAGTCCAAAGAAGAAAACCTCCAAAACGAGTAAGGTTCATAGTTATATATATATATATATATATATATATATATATATATATAATTATTATTATTATATTTTTATTATAAGAGATTATAATAAAAACATTTTAAAATTGATACACGAAAGCTTGCCATCACCTGAAGGAGTGCAATCATAGTATTGAATTATTCAGCAGAGACACTATAGCCCTTGTGAAAAAGACCAGCTTGTCAAATGCCTTTGAGATATCTAAAGCCACATCCTGGGCCTTGGCATTTTAACCTAAAACCTGATAGACAAATTTAGTAATAACTGTTAACACATCAGTGGTTGACCTAGAGAAACAAAAATTATATTGTTCATCTGAAAGAAGATTGTGTAAGATGCTTAACCAATCTAGAGTTGATTAGAGTGTCTAGTACATTGCCAAAAAGAGGTAAACAACTATTAATTTGAGGGATAAGAAAATTCACCAGAATTCTTAAAGCCAGGAAGTACAGAAGGGGATTTCCAACAAGCTGGAAAGCAAGAAGTGACAATACATTTGTTGTAGAATTTAGAGATAACAAAAGTTAGTTCAGGAACACATTTCTTTGGGACAATTGTTGAGATACTGCTAAATGTGGGGATCTAGTTTGGAAATGGATGAATTTATATGCATATTATTCAGTAGAGATTCCATTCTAGGTGGAAAATCAGGCAAAGATTCTCCTGAGTCGAGAGTTGAGTTGGAAGAGAATTTACAAGCAAAGCATTCTGTATTGTCAACAGTAGATAACAATACTTCAAACTGATTGAAGTTATATAACATACATTTAGGCAGCAAGAATTCTTTCAAACAAGTTTTATTAATCACTACTGACAAGATCTGTCTGCCCAACTTTTTATTTAGTTTTTCTAACTTCTGACAAAGTTACTTTATGTCAGAATGTCACAATCAACTTCAAAACTTTCCAAAGTTCTTTTATTATATCTATCCTTTCAAAAACCATTCATTTATATATATATATATATATGGAAATAGTAAATACATTTGTATGTAGAGAGATAGATATATGGAATTAGCAATAGAGTGGGAAAGAGGCTGCTAAGTAGAGAACATCCAGTATTTTTGAGGCATTGTCATTCATCTGATCATGACAGTTTGATAGCAGAATTTCATTCTCATTCATGAAATCCACAACAGTGTCTGCTTGATTCTTTGCTGTACGAGAAAAGATGGGAGGGAGGAACTTGATTAAATGCTCCACAGGCTCACAGCTTCGACTATATCAGACAGTAAATATCAATTGATCAAAGAAATGAGATGTCTGGAGTGGAATCCACAATTATTGAATAAAACTTTCACCATTTTATTTCTTCCAGAATAGCAATAAAACATGTCTCATTAATTCAATAAATTCCGAACAAATGTTTACCGATAGATAGAATGGATTCTCCTTGTCAGAATTTCCAGACAGTTTGAGATTCTCTTCCAAAATAGGGTCCAATTTATTTAAACATTCCAGAAAGCCTAAAATGCTTCCAAACTTTGCTCACCCAGTAGTTTGATTTTCCCTGCTAAATGCCAAACTTCTGGAAGCAAGAAATCCAATGACAGAAACTTAAAATCTTTATGCCATTCCTTCTGTCATTAGTGATGCTGTTCGATTAATTAAGAACTTGCACATCAGAATAACTATCAATTGAAAGAAGACAATGTATGGGTGCCAAGGAGAGTAAGAGCCCAAGATGCAATCTGTGTATTGAAGATATCAACATCAAACAAGGTAAAATATCTTGGAAGTGTTTTAACAGAGGATGGAAAATCTAACACTGAAATCTGAAAGTAGATTGGAACAGCAAAAGATGCCTTCTGAAAGCTGAGCAAAGTATTAAGAAACAGGAAAGTTTCATTAGAAACAAAAAAAAAAAGAGTGCTGAACTGTCGTGTCATACCAGTCCTTTTATATAACAGTGAATGCAGGACAATTTTCTAACAGATGAAGAAGCAACTTGAGGCAATAGAAATTCACTTCTACAGAAGGATGCTGAGGATAGCATGGACTGAAAATGTGAACAACAAGAACATTTTAAGGAAAATGAAAATAAAACGGGCACTTATACTAAAAATCAGAGATAGTTGAAATTTCTATGACAACTAAAAGAGGGCTTGGAGAATTTGATACTCACAGTATATATTGAAGGCAAGAGAGACAGAGGAAAGTAGTAAGTAACCTACCAAATTAGTTTGTGTAAATGGATGACAGAATAGAGATTGAGAGGTTTAGCAAAAAACAAACCTTACTAAGAGCTACAAAGAATAGGAAGTTGTGGAGAGTCATGATCGCCCACATTCGAAAGTCAACATGGCATATAAAAGAATGAGAATTTCTTCATATTCCCCCATGCATTTGTGATGTTCTCTATTTTCATGTTTTACAGTGTGGGTTACCCCACTTGACTTTATTAAGAAACTATCGCTAGGGGACACTCCTTAAGCCTATGAATAGGGAGTGATATTCTCACCCATTCTTTTTACCCTCTCTTCCAACTCCAGCTATAAGATATAGTTGCACGTGGCAAAAAAAAGTGCCTCCCACTGGGGGCACATTCACTTTGCTTTCAATGCATTACTTTTCTCTCGGACTTCTCCTAAACACATTACACAAAAACACATTCTCTAGTTTGAATGTTTTCTATGTAGTCTTTAAATGTTTTTGTCTTTTATTGTCATTGTATACTTTTGTTAACACATCAGCCAGTTATGTGCCATGTGTGATACAGGCTTAGGTGATCATGTATCTTTTGATACATGACTGACAAGGCAAATTTTTTCCCCCACAGTAGGTTGCCATTTCTTTCTGCAATAGACCAGTTGCCATCCAAGGCTATAGAACCCACTCTGTCCTGCCATTTACCCATAGCTGAGTAAAAGAAGAAGAGAATTCATAACTTTTCCAAGGGTTATGTAAGTAAAAAGTCATGTAAGTGAATGTAATGGATTCTGCTGGAATTTGAACTCTGCTCTCCAATTCCATAATTTGAGCCGCTATCCATTACTCCACTGTGCCTCCTCCTGTTAATACATACATTATCGTTTTGTTTTATATACTGTTTCATGTTATTCCTCAATTACTTAGACTCACATTCAAGTCCACTATAATTATTATGGGAATAATATACCAGGAGACACGTGTTTTCTAAATAAACACAACTAGCATTTCCACAACAGTAAGATTTGTTTGTTTCCTGTCATTAAATCCTGGGCAAATTTTCACATTGTGGGAAATTTAACAATTCCTCAATTTGAGTTGTGGCTTGATGAACAAAGTGAGACAATTGAACATTATTAAAATATACTTTATATATGAAATACATTACATAGCGAGAAAAAAATAGAGGATTGCTAAAAACGTATTCTTTTAGCAGTTAAAAGTCATGACGTCAGAGATGACATGCAAATACATATGTCTGTTTGAAATAGATAAAACACATATCTGAATGGTGTTTATAGTCTGCTTCCATTAGCTGCTTGTTCCTGTATTATTCAGGTTTGATTATGGCCAGCATTGTCTGTTCTGGGAGAAGGCTGAAAAATACATCCCTCATTCCTAGTCACCTCAACCTCCCTCTTTCTCATGCAATTTTGGGTCATACAGATTATTATCAGATGAAATGGGTTTGATTTATTATCAGTAGGAGTTATTTACCAAAGGGAGATAACCTATATGTTTTATAACATTCATGCCTGCAACAAAAGAATACGTGTTTAAAACAAAGTTTTCCTCTTTGCATTATTATTACTGCATACTCCCTCAGCAACTTTTATTGTTTTAATAAAACCTAAACATATGAAACTGAATTTATACAAACCATCCTTTTGACACTGTTTTTTGTTGGTATGTATGTAAAGGGTGTTTCATTAAGATGGATCAAAGCCAGCAGAAAATTAGTCAGTGTTCTTGGTAAAAATTTATTTCTTTCTCTATTGGATCATGTTATTTAAGTGATGGCAATTATGTGTGAAAAATAACATCGCCCAAATGTCTGCCAAATCTGAAAGAAAAAGAAAAAATCATTAGACGCTTAAACTTAATTCACATTAAAATCGGTCCAAGTTGTTGGAACGCCCTTTACAAGCTGCCTTAGGATAGTGAACAGAATAGGTAATCATATTTTGCCCTTTCAACATTCTGAATTTCATACCCGAATTCATACTTTGATAAATACATTGTTTTGGAATTTGTCAGTTTTCAATAAAGTTGATTTTTTTTAAGTTTTAAAGAATGACCTCCAAGGTCAACTTTGCATTACCTAAGCCTAAACTTAAATGACTGGAATTAAGACTTTGAACTGAAAAGAACTGAATGAAAAGGAAATTTATAGTAATTAAATACATTTAAGGAAAATGTCAACCTTTCATAAACATAGTTTTTCTTTATTAAAATATAAATATCTTTTGTATGTGCATGATTTATTGTTAAGATTTTATACAATCAAAAAAAGAGGCTGAGTGATTGACTTCAAAAATTTTTCTTTCAAAATGCCATTTGAAAATAACTTTATTTTTTTGTCCAAAGTTCATGATGATGACTTTATTTGTATTTACATTTGTTTCTTTTCGTTAATTAATTCCTGTTGCCTTCTCCATAAATTTCTTTTCTTTATTATCAGTGAATTGTCATGACTTCTTGGGAAAGATAGTGAAGTGGTTTTCCATTGACTTCTCTGCAGATACTTTTTCTTTATTATTCATGAAGTGCCATGACTTCTTGGGAAAGATAGTGGAATGTTTTCCTGTTACCTTCTCCCTTGTTTTAAATTTAGAGTTATCCTACCCTAGGCAGGCTTCCAGAGAGCATTTCTACCATGTTTTCATGAAGCAGTTACCAAATTTTAACTGAACTTTTGCACACTTGGATTAAGTCCATTAAGTTTGATAAATAGGCATTACTGAGTTAAGACTTTCCGATATTTATAGTCAAATGGAAAAATCAGAAAAAGAAAACAAGTTACTTTAGTATGTCACAAATAACATTTTTTTTTTTTTGCTTTTTAGAACTGGAACTGTTTGATAAAAATCCTCCATGACTTCAATAACAAGACTAATCTCTTTTTTAAAAGTATTGCTTCATGTTCACCTAAAAAACAGGCTCTGGCTTAACAAACAGAATGTTAGCATTAGAAGTAGGAGTTGGATAACCAAAAATCTTTTTAATCATCTGTTTCATATTTTCAGAGATTATGGCTACACAGGCAGCACAAGCCAATCTTTCTTTTTTGTTCTAATACAATTAACAAGAAAAATTATTTCACTCCCTCTGGCAACCGAATTTTAAAAAAAACCAAGTCTAAGACAAGTATTCTGTAGTATGTGTTGCACAGAAGTAAATATCAAAAATCTGAATTGAATTTTATGACCATCAGGAACCTATGAGCTGAGAAGATTTGATCTGTGGTAACGCCAATACATACTGAGGTAACCCTAAGAAATAAGTAGACTTTTTTTCACCTCAAAACATCAAAATGCTTAGGTTCCTCAAGAGTTGATCTAGAAGGTTGACCTCAAAGCTACCAAGTGCCGAATTGGGCCTCAGAGGATATCATTAGGTGCACCAACATGAACAGAAAATGAACCCAAGTGAACTTGTTATTATAAGAAGTTATATAAATGCCTGACTTATGAAGGGGATGCCAGAATCCCCTGCACACTCGCAAGAATATCAAACGTTCAAAGAAAAATTTGAAATAACATATCCTCCACAGCCAACATTAATTTGACAGAGTTCAGAAGGGAATAAGCAATTATTTTGTATACCTATCAAATGTTACCAAAATAATATCACAATTCAAACTTCACCATCAACACTTACATTCACACCTGAACAACAGCAATAATCATAAAACTTCTTAAAAGCTAAATAGAAACAGAATACAAAGTTTATCAGTAATGATTTTAACCCCATTCTTATGAGTAGTGTCTTTTCTTTTTTAGTCTCTCAGACAATTGCAAGACCAGCCAGTCAAAAATGGGTAAAGTTCTTGATTCATTTTGTCAGGATCTGTAAATAATTTCTGTATGATTAAATAATTTAATCTTGTTCTCAATCCCATGATGCTCTATCAGCTTTGTTATCATTTGGTTGTTTCTTTTCTTATAGATGGAACCTATCATTTAATGGGTTACTATGATTCAGTCAAGGACAATCTCACCTGGTTTGACAAAGAACAATGGTTAGGTAAGTCAATATTCTTAATCTCAATAAACCAACTAAATGGTATATGAGATAATGGTATAATATTTTTATATATCAAAAACAGTATTGAGGATATTATATGTTAAATATGCATTGGTTGCCTACCATATCAAGACTGACTATGAGTTTAACATAAAAAATGCTACTTTGATCAAAGGAGAAAATAATTTACTATGACATAAATGTCTAAGAAAGTGTCTTGATCACAAGGTCATCTACAGTAAATTTGAGCCCTGGTTTTTACAACATTTCACCATTCCTGGCAGATTTATTATCACAGTGTGGGATACCTAATAACAAAAGTGATGGAAAAAAAAGACTCTAAATGAATTTGGCTAGATATAAAAATAAAAAAATAGAAATTTTTAAATTATAAAATTCTCAGCACCCCACATTTGTACCCATGTGTAGTCATACCAACATAACAAATTCAGTCCAATGAAGTCCTGAAGGCCAAAATATGTCACAAGTAAACTTTTTCCCCTTTGTCACACAATTTCCCCACTATATGGTGCACTGTCCTATCATGGACAATAATTGAGGGTCAGCATTGGAAGATACCTTATCACTTATGCATGTTAGCAGGGGCTATTGTGGAGAAAATCAGGTAAGAGAAAAACATATTTCATTTGTGCTTTCTTAAGTGCGATACTAGCCCAACCTTGCTGCAATCGACAAGGCCACACTGAAAGATGAAATTTGTTAAAGCAGGATTTTGATGGCGTATCTGATTCAGAGCTTGATGAAGCTGATCACGGTGCTTCAGTCCACTGTCTTCAAAAACCTTTAACTTAATGAAACATGTCTTACACCACTCCTTTCAGTTTGATGCTTGGGCTTCCCAGGTTTTCAGATCAAAGTTGATACGTTTCACGTTGTCTTTTAATTTGTCTTTGTAGCATAAGAATGGATGTCCAACTGAACACTTGGAGTTTGGCAATTGTTCATACAGCACCTTTTTTGGAAGCCTATGCTCATCCATTCTCACAACATGACCAGCCAACCTAAGTTGTATCTTTGCTAGAATGGTTTCAATGCCTGTGATGTTGTTACATTTCTTCAGTATTCCACTATTCTTGACCCTGTCATCCTATTTTATATCACATATGGCACAAAGAGAGCACATGCGAAAGACATCAAGTTGATTTATGTGTATGCAGTACAGGTTCCAAGTTTCAGCACCATAGAGAAGGGTTGAGAGAACAACTGATCTGTATATGTCGATCTTTAGTCTGAGAGACATGTCTTTGGTGTTCCATAACATACCCATAAATGCTGTATGGATTTAATTTCTCTGTCCATTTTCCATCAAAAGAGACTGTTGATCCAAGATATGTGAACGTCTCATCAGTTCCTATTGCTGTACCATCAATGAAGACGGAAGTTACTTACCATCGCCTGAAGAAATACAAAATATTGAAACATGAAAGCTTTTGGGTAGTGATTTCAACATGTTTTTATTATAATCTCTTATAATAAAAATAATAATAATATATTGCTCTACTTTGTATTGAGCACTTTTTAAAAGTAAACAGTGGAATTTTTACTCCATCTGTTCTTTATCTCATTTTATATATATATATATATATATATATATATATATTCATATAAGTATATCTATAAAAGGACAATACTTGTTACAAAATAAAATTCTTGCTTTTGCAATGATAAAGTTCCTCAAGAGACAAAATCTGTCAACTAAATGATAAGTTTTCCTTTTGTCTTTACTCATATATATATATATATATATATATATATATATATATATATATATAAAAAATTAATGTATTTATTTTTTTAATGACATTTTTATTACTTCAAAGATTATTATAATGGATATTCATATTTGAAATAGACAACCCATTTTATTTTTACTTTAAATAGTGTGAGCATAATCATCAAAAATAGGCGTAATTAGTAAAAATAGAGATGGGGTGTCTATTTCAAATATGCACTATAACTATTTACGCTATTTATATCATTTGAACTGTTGTCATGATGTTTTGTCCATTGTACACTCTGGCCTTCTTCAGCTGATTTACATTGGAATTTTGAACCAAACCCTTTATTTAGCCCATGGGGGTAGATTGTTCAAATTCCACATGCCATGCCTCTTTTGGCTATCTCATTTTCAGTTAATTCCCTTTATTAACTCAACTCTCCAAGTTTCTGTTCCCTTTGCTGTGGCCAGGTATTGAACTCAACCAATGCATATATCCATGTGTCCTTGAGGACATCAGTGAGTTAATTTTTTTGGACTTATAAACTTAATGCCTCACCATCATTTTTTACCAGAGCTCATATTACATATTTTTGTTATTGTTGTTTTTCTTTCTCTCTGTATTACTGGTTCACATATTGTATTCATGTCTATGCTTGGCCGGCTTAGAATTTTTTCGCCTAGTATGTGCAATGATTCCCTAAATTTTCAAGTGACATTCTCTGTCTATTATTTCAACTTTATTCCACAGAGGGCGTGATCTCCCTTTTCCCTCCAGATATAGTCAGCCATACCTAATTTTTCCATTTCCTCTCATGTTACAAGTTTACAGTGTTCCTGCCACCTTATTTTAAGGTGGCAGCCTGTTTCTCCCTTATATTTCTTGCCACAGCTGCACAGGATGGCATATACACAGTCCTTAATCATGTTCTTCTCTATGGTGGACTTACTCACAGGAGTTGTCTGCATCATGTCAAACCACTCCTGCAGGTCGTCCTGATGTTATATGGATCACAGATTTTTTGTATCTTTTTCAATAAGCCTTTCACAGAGGGTTGGCAGAACAAGGCTGTTTTTTGAGTGTTGTCATCATCTTGTACTCTTCTATCCCAGGGTTCAGTTCAAAATTTCAACATATACCACCTGAAGAAGGCTGGAGCCTACAACAGCTGAAACATCATGAATATAGCAATAAAGATGAGGTCAACAGTTCAAATGGTGTAAATAGTGTAAATACTTACAATACCTCATCTCAAAAATATAGACATGCAAATAATAATGTTTGAGGTAATAAAAATATATACCTATATATATATTTACTATTTTTCACCTAATACAAGGCCCAAAAGCCACTCAAGTTAGAGAGTTACTAACTGAGATTGTTGTAAGGGTGTACAGGGAGGGAGCAAGTGGGACATACTATGAGGATGTGTAGGATAAATAATAGTTTACCCTAGACGTCAGGAGGTTACTATTATAGAGATTAGGGAAGCATCCTCTGGGGAGTCTGTTAATCAATTCAACTGTTCTAGGGAAGATGCTGTCTGAATAGAATTTTCTCCTTACTAATGGAGAGTGAAGGGAATGAGGATGAGTTAACTAGGTGCACATGAGGTAGCAGGTCCTAGCTGTGGATATCTGACCTGGTGGCACGAAGGAATGTAGTCCACCAAAACATCTGCCATGAAATAGCAATAAAGTAGTGAGATGTTAGCAATTTTTTGTCTGTGTAAAAAAAGGTTATAGGATGGAAAACAGTTCTTCACTCAACAAGGCATGTAGATGATGTTTTTAGACACTGTCAAGTCTGGAAAAGTAGGAGCTCCAACTGAATAAATGTCAAAATAATAAAGATTAACATCTTAAATTTCAAGAAAGCAAACTCTAAGAAATTTACAATGAAACCATTCTTTCATTAAAAGTTTCATCAGTACAACACAAATATTACAAAACTACTCTATAATATATTTTTTTCACCCCAAGCAAGGTGATAATATCACTAGGGCTTAAGGGGTTACTGGGAGTGAAAGAGAATGAGAAGACTTTAATGCTGAGAAAGCACAACAAAATAGTAGAATTCAGGAAGGCAATGGTGACTGACATTGCTTTTAAATTTTTGCAGATTGTAGATGGCAAGGAAGCAAGAAATTAGAAGGCGGTTCTACAGGCAAGAAGTGCAAGAAAATAAACTATTAGAGCAGAACAAACAGTTGCATCTAGCTAGTTCAACAGTAAAATGGTGAGACCTACTTGCCAATCTAGTAGCACACTTAAATTTATACAGTCAAGGCACTAAAAAGAACAGCTCATCAAAACAATTGCCAGGAAAATATTTGTAGAAAAGACAGAGGGAAGCCACAGCACATCAATGAGGAAGTGACTGATGTCAAAATGCCATATCAGGACCTTTAACATTACAGACCCTTTTTTTTGGATTTTGCCAAGACTCTTGAGACATATGGTAGAAGCACCAGACCAGATATAACAGCAATATTCCATGCAAGGATGAATGGTAGATTTATAAATGTGAAAGATGGATTCTGATGAGAAAAATTGTCTGGCAACACAACCTTCATTACACAATTAGTTACAAATAATTGGATTAAGCCAAATATTTGTCCAGACTTTATTTATAGTTCATACATCATGATCTCCCCTATGTAAGATAATGTGATATTCTAATATTATGGTAACAGGAAGGATACATCATCAAACACTCTCTCAGAATATCCATTCACAAGACTCAATTCTCTACAGAGTTCGTTTGTGATTGTCATATGGTTTCATGAGCTTTCCTCTTCTGTGCTGGTTCAAGGCATCTTACAAGAGTTAGAAAGAACTTGTACCCGTAACAATGATTTTTCAATATACAAGTGCTACTATTTAACTCATAGCTGGGGGAAAAGAGATGGGTTCATACCTTTCCCAGAGGTATTTGTGTGTAAGTTAATGTAACAAACTCAACTGAAATTTGAAATCATTTCTTCAATTTCTCATTCTGAGCCGCTAACCATAGCATCACTCATACATCCACAAGCTTACAGCACTTAGTGTTCCCAACCAGTCACCCATCTAAGTACTGACCAGACTCAACATTGCTGAACTTCAGTGACTGAACAAGAACCAGTGTTTCAACTTGATATGGTTGTAAGCTATGGAAGCATTACTAGATCCAAATAAGTGAACAGGTCTCATGTTACCAAGATGACAATGGAATATCGCGTCAGTAATAGGGAGACCAGGTTGCTAAAAAATTGCTTTTTATCTCTTTTGCTTTGTGTTAGCTTTCCTTGATGATTAAAAAGTAGAAATCTTTCATAGATGAAACAAGAGTGTTGATTGGGAAGATAAAAATCCTTGATTAATCTGGCAGAAAAAATGTAACCAATGCAATTGAAAAATTACTTAAATATTGCCATTCATTTTTTGCTGATATCAATAAACGTCTTTTATGTGCCATATTCCTTCAGAACGTTGGCAGTTATGGCTCTTCACAACTTCCTATCCTTTGTAACTTTAAACAATGTTTACCAGCACTCCCAGTCAAATTTAATCTCCACATTATTGTTGAATGAAACAACCCTTATATTGTTAGAAATGATGGAAAAATATTGTAGTCTGAAGGGGCTAAACCAGAAGAATATGGTGGGTGTGGCAGAAGTTCCCAACCAAGCTCTTTCTTTGTATTCATGAATAACCTTATGTCGAGCAAGTAAACTGGGGGCAATGGAGGAGCACTGGAGTTTGTTTCTCCCAGTCAATATGTGTGGCACCCATGCACCATGGACCTTAACCATTGAATGAAGTTAACAAGTGACAATAACATGAGAGTTTGCCATCTTCTGAACTAGTTATCTTGTGGTCTGGCATGATTCAACTTTAATAAGCATATGCAATTGGTTCTCATCAAACTGAATTGGTTGGCCAGAATGCAGAAAGTCTGAGAGCTTGAACTTCCCCACCTTTAAACAGGAAAACCATTTCTGTCCTATTCTGTCAGTAATGAAGTCATCTCTGTACACAGCACAAATGTTTGAGCTGCTTTGGCAGCTTTGTGACCTTAATCAAAAGCAACAAGAAGATGTCAAACATGCTCATTCTTGTCTACTTGGCATTCTATCTAAAAAGGGTGTCTAATCTGAAATGAAATTTCAATAATGCTAGACAAGAGTTTCCCAGGATGACCAGAGATACTCAGAAGCAAAAAATGCTACAAATGATTATTCTTTGAGATAAATCACAGAACACTAGAAAAAAACAAACAAATATATGGAATAACCTAATAGATTGACAGCTAGGTCTCATCATTTTACAGTTGAATTGGCTAGATGTAACAGTAAGTTCTATACTAACAGTTTCTTCTCTCGCACTTCTCACTTGTGGAACTCTCTTCTAGCTTCTTACTTTCCTGTCAACTACAATTTTTTTTTATACAATGATGTTCACCCTATACAAGGCCCAAGATTCATTCAAAGTAGAGGGTTATGCAGTAAGAGGCACAGTTTATGGGGATACGCTTAGAAGATAACAGTTAACCCTAGATTTAAATAGGCTAAGATTGTAGTGATCAGAGAAGCATCCTCTTGAGAGTCAGTTCTACAAAGAAGTTGTTTGTGGGGAAAAAGGCTGCTCAAGTGGAACTTACATCTCACTAAGGGAATACGAGGGCAATAAGGGTGGTTTGCTACAGTGAGCATGGCATAAGAGGTCTTAGCCATGGAGATTAGAACTGGTGGAACTAAAGAATGTAGTTTGTCTGAAGACTTTCCATGGAAATAGTGATAGAGTAATGACAGGCTTGAAATATTTCATCTGTGGGAAAGAGGTTGTAAGAAGCAAAATAATTCATCACTGAGAGGCTTTTGGACTCTATCATGACTGGAAAGTGAAAACTTGGCAACTCTTGCCCATATATGACAGCAGTGTTAATCTTAGAAGACTGTTGAGTTGTCTCCTCTTGTCTATAGATAAAAAGAAGTCTGTTTGGAGTGATCTCCTCTTGGTTTGTTGTTGTTGTAGTTTCCTTTGACAAGACGGTGGTTTAGCTGAGACTGGATGTCTGTGGAAGGAGTAAATCACCATTGGTAGCAGAGTGTAGTCTCTTTTGTGTGATAAGAAGTTGTCTTGTTCAGCAAATGCTGAAACACACTTAAAAGAAAAATGGCTTCCTTTACAAAACACCCACCTGTTTTGGTAAATGAAGAGGCATATGCTGGATGGAAGCAAGATATAGGCATATGGCCTATATTCACAGACTTACCTAAGGAGAAACAAGTCCCTGCTGTGTTTTTGTCATTACCACAAAATATAAGAGAATATGTTTGACACTTGGCAATAATGGATATCGGTGGAGCAAATGAATTAAATATAATTATTGACACATTGGACAAAATTTACTTGCTGGACGAAAATACAATGGCATACATGTCATTTAAGGAATTTTATTCCTACAAAGGGCAGCTGAATTTTTAAATGAAATGAATTTTGTATGATATGAATTTCAATGATCAAAATTACAGAAATTTGAAATTACTTTATCAGAAGGAGTCCAGGCCTTTTTGTTCTGAATGCAGCAAATGTCTCGGAGGAAAATGAAAAATTAGCAAGAACCACATGTTCCAGCTTAACATATGCAACAATGAAAGATACACTGAAGAAAGTATTTTCTGATATTTTATCAACAGAATGTAAAACTATCCCTGCTATCAAAGAAGAAGTTGAAACAGTAAATTTCAATAGATACAGAAGTATTAAGGAACAAAGGCATGACAGGATATATAAAGTAAATCCTAAGGATAGACAAGGTAAGATAATGTGTTGTTTTAAATGTAATTCAACTAAGCATTTTGCCTGAGATTGTACGAGTTTCAATTCTAGAAATAATATCAACACTGTGGTGGATACAGACCAGGTGAACTTTACCTTGTTTAATGTAGATTCATGTTATCGAAAATTGATAAATGACTCTTATTCCAATGTAAAAATGTACAATCTTGTGAAAGAGACATTGGGTATGGCAGTGTTGGACTCTGCTTGCTCACGAACTGTTGCTGGAGAAATTTGGTTTAATGTATCCTTTGATACATTAAATAACCAAGATAAACAGTTGGTGGAAACTGTTAGATCTAACAGAATATTTTGTTTTGGAGATGGAGTGGAGGTAAAAGCTATTAAAACAGTTAAGTTTCCTGTAACAATAGGGAGTATAAGAGGTATCAGAGGTTATATTGAGGCTGACATAGTCAAAAATGATATACCCTTGTTATTAAGTCATAAATCAATGAAAACTGCAGGAATACTACTAAATTTTAAAAACGACAGCTGTCGCATTTTTGGCAGACATATTAAATTGCAAACAACAACTTCCGGACATTATAGTCTGCCACTAACTAATAATATGCTTTTGGAGGTTAAAAATGCACCAAGCATCGTCTTACATTGTGAGACTTTAAAAGGATGTTCTCGAGTGGAAAAAAGGAGGAAGGCTGAGAAATTACATAGACAGTTTGCTCATGCATCTAAAGAAAAATTAATAACTTTGGTTAAAGGTAGTAAGGCATTTCATGACAAGGAATTTCTGAATCAGATAAAAGATGTTTGTGATTCTTGTTCAGTTTGCCAAAGGTTTAGAAGAACCCCTCCTCGACCAGTTGTATGATTGGCTCTTGGTAACAGGTTTAATGACACTGTATGTTTGGATTTAAAGGAATACCAACATAACCAATGCTGGATTCTACACCTAATTGTTACATCCACTAGATACTCTGCTGCCAGATTAATTAAGACCAAGAAAAGCGAAGAAATTATTCGCAACATATTTTTAATGCGGATATCTTATTTTGGAGCTCCCAAACGGTATTTAAGTGATAATGGAGGAGAGTTTAATAATGAGGGCTACCGACAGATGAACGAAAAATTGAATATTGAAACATGCACGACAGCTGCAGAAAGTCCATTTAGCAATGGTATTGTGGAACGTCATAATCTAATAATTGCTGAAGCAATGGAAAAATCATTAGATTATGAAAAATATGAGCCAGAAATAGCTTTGGCTTGGGCTGTTAGTGCCAAAAATGCACTTCAAAATCATTCTGGATATAGTCCAAATGAGCTTGTATTTGGATCAAATATTAACACCCCATCAGTTTTGAATGATCGGTTACCTGCATTGGAAACTGCAACAACCAGTGATATGGTTAGAATAAATCTAAATGCCCTACATACAGCGAGGAAAAGCTTCATGGAAGCCAAATCAAGTGAAAGAATTTGTAGAGCCTTGACATATAATGTAAGGTCTTATGCAGATAAAGGATTTGTGACAGGTGACCGTGTCTACTATAGAAGACAAAACTACAACAGATGGCGTGGTCCTGCTAAAGTTCTGGGGAAAGAAGGTCAATGTGGATTGATCAGACATGGAGGAGCATTTTTCAGGATGCATCCATGTCACTTGATGAAGGTAGACAAGGAATTGCGAAATCCAAGGAATGAAGAAAATACAAATTCTTCAAATGAGATGAATGAAGTGTTGGAGGAGAAAGATGAAGGACAATATAATAACAATTCTAATAGCAATAGAAAGGAAGTGAAAGATAACAGTATAAAACCAAGTAGAAACAAAGTTGTAGAATATAAATTGAGAGGGAGTGATGAGTGGAAGAAAGGAATAGTTATGAGCACACAACTAAAGTCAATGGGAAAATATAGCCATTGGCTAAATATAAAACCAGAAGCAGAGAATGAAGATCCTCTTTGTGTCAATTGGGATCATGTTGATCAATGGAGAAAACTTTCTCATGTAACAGAGGAAATAAGTAATCAGAAACATGCAGTTTTGCTTACTTCTGAACAAGGACAAGATGTGATTGATGCAAAGAAAAAGGAATTGGAAAATATGAAAGTTCATGAAGTATATGAATGTGTGCCTGACATGGGGCAAAAATGTATATCAACAAGATGGGTGATAACAGAAAAATTTATGAATGACAAAAAGATAATGAAGGCTTGTCTTGTTGCACATGGTTATGAAGAAGATTCTCATAACTTAAAAACAGATTCTCCAACATGCAGCCGTGAGGCCATGTGTCTCGTATTGTTAATGGCCTCGGTTATGATGTGGCAGGTGAAGACTCTTAATTTTACCTCAGCATT